CTCAGCAGCCCGGGCTAGGCCGCCACCCGTCCCGGAGGCTCCCTGCAGCCGGCGCCAGGTGCCTCTCTTCTGGGTGCAGGGCCCGGCCCCGGGCGGCTGGCCTGCAGGCTGCTCCAAGCTGGACTCTGGCCCAAGGCTGTCCCCACACTTGGGTCTACGGGGAAGGCTCTGCAGAAGGGTCCTCAGCACCCCCCCGTCCTGGTCCACCTTGTCTTCAGGACCGTGTGGGTGGGGGGGCACAGAGCCTGCGCAGGCCCTGACTCGGAATCTGAAATGGGAAACGGAAGAGGCAGATAGCACCTGGCCACCCACCAGACCGTCCCTCCACAGGGACCCCGCTGTCCCATTCTTGGTGACCAGCAGGGAGCACCACTCTGCCGGGGACCAGAGTGGGGGGAGGCCTGAAGGAGATTCAGACTCAGAGCTGAGCAGCAAGGCCTCCTGTTCCCAAGGATGCTGTCCAGAACCCCACGGGAGGGAGGCTCCAGTTCCCAGGGTGCTCCCACTCCATTCGCCCCTCAAAGCCAAGGAGACACCTCTCCTGCAGCTCTGCTGGCCCATGCCACTGTAGACTCCTCCAGGGACCAGCCCAGCTTCCCTGCCCACCTGGGAGTGTCTACTTCCCAGGGACTGGACTTCAGACACCTCCAGGATCTCCCAGGTGGGTGGAGACCCCGAGGGGACATCCCAAGGGCCTCTCTGGGGGAGAGAGGCAGGGGCGGGTGGGGAAGGACACAATGAGTGGGCCTGGATTAGTGAAGCCCCAGCCGGGCCTCGGTGAGAAGGGGACCACAGTTTGATTTAGAGGACAAGTGGACACTGAGGGCACCACACAGCGGGGCCAGGATGACTCCCCAACTGCTAGCCTGGGGTCGCAATGGTGCCAAGTTGGACACTCCAGACAGGCAGGCAGCTGTGGGGGCCTGGACTGCATTCACAGCCTCGGAGTGTGTCAGCAATGAGACTGGGACTCAATAGGGGGAGGGCTGTGGGGCAGAGAAGTGAACTCTGGGGCAAGCACAAGTAGGGCCTTGGGGCCCGGTGGCGGTGGTGCCCAAAGTGGAGGGCACTGTGCAGAGCCTGGTGGGCGGTAGCCACGGATGCATGCCTTCCTGGGCAGGCCGCGGGGCAGGTTCTGTCCACTCACCCGGCCAGCAGGTGTCTCTGCCAGTCTGGACCTCCTCCACATCCTGGAGATCCAGGCCCGACAGCTCTTCCTCCTGGGGTGGCTGGGAAAGCACCTCAAGGCTGCAGCTGGGGAAGCCTGGAGGCACAGGGCGGCTGGGCTCATCTCCCCCTCCTCTAGAATCAGTTGTACCCCCAACACACAACACACTTCCTTGCCTTCCAGAGGCTGAGAGCCAGGAAGGGGTGCGGTGTTCCGCAGATGGGGAACCATGACACTGTCTCCCTGAGGGTGAGGACCCCTGAAGTACTGCCTGGCTACACTGCAGCAGAGGGGGGGTGTCCTAGAATAGCCACCTGTGGGCTTTTCAAGTGCCCTCCCAGCCCCTCAGTGTGGGCAGGCCTGGAAGCACTGGCCTCTCTGGCCTGCGGCCCTCACCCACTCACTCAGCCACCGGCGGCCCGAGGCCGTGCCTCGCTAGGCAGACCCGGTGGCGCTCCGCCTGCCTGTGCGGCCCCGCCCTGAAACGCCCTCTCACAGAGTTCAGCGCTGCGCCTCCAGATGCTGGGCGCCTCCAGGGCGGCTACAAGGAGGGGCAGCTTGGCCTGGACTTGGAAGGCCGCCCTCACTAGCTACAGTGACAGGCTTGCTCCACCTTGGCCAAGGTCCCCAGGCCCAGGGCTCAACTGGATGCCATGCTGCAGAGGCTGGCCTTCCAGGACGGGCAGTGGGCACTGTATTGGCTGGAAGGGGTTTGCCTTGTTTGTAAAAGGGCACAGAAAGTGCGTCGCTGGGCCTGGCCATGGGGAGGAGTAAGCTGGGGCAAGCCGGGGTAGGGGATGGCCAGGGGACAGGTAGCGTTCAGGTCTCAGGGCAGGCATCCACCTGGGAAGGCTGCCCCCCAGCCAGCGGCTCCTCCCCACCTCCAGGCTGTGTGCCCCCAGGGTCCAGCCCTCTTCCATCATTTGCTCTTGCCCACAGACTGCCCCTTCTGCGGCAGGACTCCAGACCAAACTTCCCAGCACTCTGGAAGCACTGGCTCTGGTGGTGCAGTGCTGGGTACCAGGCCCTACGGAGTTGTGCCAGGCTACTCCACTCATCTGCGTCTCTGAAAGGTGCCAGGAGAAGAGGGGCTGCGCCCTCCACATACCCCCACCTACCTGACCTCCCTGCTCCGGAGGCTGAGGGAGGGGGTGGCCTCCAGCTCTTCGCTCACGATCCCAGCTTCATGCCCAGTGCCCCCCCGACCCCAGGGCCGAGGCCAAGTCCCCTCTGCCCATGCTGCTCCCTCCACCCCTCCAGCCAACAAAGGGCTCCCCTTCTAAGGATTCCCTCTGCTCCCCAACACCCTTCTAGTCGTGGCATCCAGCACTGTGCTTAGCCACAGGGGTTTAGAAACTGGTTCTCGAAATGACCACGTGTGTGGGGTGGATGTGGGAGATCACTGGGATCCAGGTCTCGGATAGGCCTGAGGGACCCCGGGCTTCTTGGGGTAAATGTCCCCGAACTCTCTTTCTGGCCCATCTCACTGACTCTGGGGTGGAAGTAGAGAGGTCGGGGTTCCAGACATCCTGGCCTGCCTGGCTGGAGGGCCCTGGGCAGGTACTTGAAACCTGGGGTCTTTTCTGCCAAGGCCTCTGTGGACCCTAGTACAATGCAGAAACCAGCAGCAGAGGAAGAGAGGGATGGTCTCTGCCCTGGATAACAGCTTGGACAGACGTTGGCCAGGCCTGTGTTCATGGGGAGGGGTGAAGCCCCCACTCCCACTCTGACCTGCCTGACTCCATCCCTCCTCCTCCTCTACACTGGTGCCCTCTCCAAAGCCTGCCCAGTGGCCCCATGTCACTCTTAGGGTCAGCCCTGGCTGCTTCCCTTCCCAGCAGGTCCCTCTCGTTTCTGGCATAGCACAGGGAGGGCTGAAGCTGCTGGCCATAGCCAGCATTCCCTCCCACTGGGCAAACCCCAGGTAACTGGACATATGGCTCAGAGGACTGAAGACCAGCCTTCTGGGCCCCTGCTGCCTGTGGTCAGTGGAGACTGGGTCAGGGGCAGCAGCCTCTGCACGGTTTGGGGGCTTGCATGCTGGGCACCAGCCTTCTCATCCTGCAGAACAGCCCCTCCCTAGTCCTCCGTCCCACTGGTTTGCCTCCCCAGGAGGAGGAGCCACAGCTTGCTGGGCCCAGTGTGGGCCTGAGTCAGACTGATGTGGTCTGAATCCTGCTAGTCTCCACTGGCTTGTATCTGGGCTTCTGGGCCCCATCGGAAACATGGAGACAGGAGTTCCTACTTCCAGGCTGGTGTGAGGGTGACTTGAGAAACTGGAGGTAAAGTGTGGGCCCCCAAACTCTGACTGCTTAAGGGGCGGGGAGCAGGGCCCAGAAGGGCATGGTGCTGGGAGCCCTGGGTCAGTCCTGACACTACTGTGGAGGGAGAAGCAGCTGGCTCAGCATAGGCCCACACATTGTACGTGGTGGAGGGTGTCGGGGCTCCTCGCAGTGGCCCCCCGCTCCACCCCACCCATGCCCACCCACACGCCACAGCCAGCCCACAAGGCCATGCAGGGGGGCGGGAGGGTTCCTGGAGTCAGGCGCAGCACAGGGCACGCTAGGAAATCCCAGCCCAGTCCCAGGCTGACCCAGTATCTCCAGGTGTGTGAGACCTTGCGCCACCCCCTTGACCTCTTTGGGCCTCACTGTCCTCATCTGTCTGTGCCCACCTGGGAGGACTGTCCCGGGGTTTCAAGACCATCCACACAGAGCCTGTGGCACAGAGCTGGCACCCAGAAGAACTGCTGCTCAACAGATCTCAGCTGCCATCACATCACTCACTGCAAAGCCAGGGCAAACCAAGAGCGAGAACCCTGGGCAGAGTGGGCCCTGCTCCTGGCCCAGTGCCGGCTCTTCAGGGCAGTGGTGCAGGCTGTGGGGACCTGCCCTGAAGGGCTGGGACACATCTGGGCCCTCACCCTAGCTGTCACCAGCTTACTGTGGTGTGAGACTAGAGTGACTGTGAGAGGGGTGAGGCTAGGCCTCTTGTGGAATGTGGGCCATGGGAGGAAGCCTGGGTACTCCCTGACATCTGAGTGCCAGCAGGGTTGAGGGGCACCATGCACCACAGAGCTTGGATGTCATCCCCCAACCAGCTGTCGGCTACTTCCACTTCCAGACACCCCCAGATCCTGCCAGGGTTGGGGTGGGGGGGAGCAAGGCTGGCAGCTCCATCCCTGCAGGTCCCTGGGGGTCCCCACCCAGACCAGCTTGCCCAGAACTCTGGACACTCTTTTCCTGGTGTGGGAGCAGAGCTCAGAGAGGAGACTGAGATAACTTGCTCCCGTCACACAGGACCTGGCCACTGAGGCTGCTGTTTTCTGATCCCCTCAAAGAACCACAATCTAGGGGACTGTTCCCCAGGGAGCCACTGCTCACACTGCTTGACCCCTAGCCTCAACCACCACTGCCCGAGTCCCAAGCTGAGCGCCGGGGTACAGGAGCCCTAGCACCCAGTGAGCTGCCTCAGTTCCTGCCCACGGTGACAGTGCAGTGACACAGAGGGAGTGTGGTGGCAGGACAAGTACCATGTTGATGACTGTGGAGGTGAAGCTGGGCTTCGTGGTGGTGGTGGGCTCCAGGTGTCCCCGGTGACTCGAGACCGATGGGGGACAGGACATGAAGGGGCTTCTGACTGTCCCCCAGGGCCGCCATCTTCCCCCAAGGCCTGCTGAAGGTATGCACACCTGGGACCTGGGGAAATGAAAACCATGGCAGGATGAGGGGGTCAGAGGGATGTGCGGGGTGGGGATGAGCGTGGCAACATCAGCTGTCAATCAGCCACAGGTGAGCTGGAGGCTCCTTCACTGGGTGAGAGGAACAAAGTGCCCAAAGGTGACTGGGATCCCTGGCATGTTAATAACCACGTGGACAGCACCAGCACACCTGCAGGAACTGAATGGAAGCTCTCGTCACAGCAGTGGTCTGGAGTGTCCTCCCAACCCACGGCCTTGTCCACAGACAGAAGCAAGCTGGTTCTTCCAGAAAAACCCCCCATATCATAGCTGGGGGCCGCTGGCCCTGAGGAGGGCAAAAACATTGAACCTTGCCTGCTGGAGCGTGACCGTTATAGGGTAAATCTTAATGGGACATTTCCAGGGAGAAAAACCCTCCTCAGAGCCCTCAGAGGCTGCGGCCGTGACACACCACATGCCCGCCCCGCCCATGGCGCCCTCATCCTCTTTTGGGGTCAAAGACACTTTTCTTTACTCAGGTTTGCCAGGACAGCTGGGTCCAAAGTGAGAAGGACTTGTCTTTCACGCTGTGATGAAGTAGGATTCCTTATCTGGGGCAAAAAAGGGGCAGGGGAAGGAAAACATAACGTGCATCCAGCAACAGCACAGACAGTCCCTGCTTCAAAGGACTTCAACAGCACAAGCAGCCCCAACAGGGCTCCTCAACAGTGCTGAGACCTCTGGGGTCAGCCCTCGTCCGACCTCACCTCCTAGTGATGGGAAGGGTCACTGGCACCCAGGTAAGTGGACACGGGGTGGGGCTGCAGTCATGACATCTAGGTACAGGTCCTTACCGCCCCCACCATGTCAGAACTTGTTACTCGGTTAATTTCCGGGGGACTTATCTGTGAAAGGGCAGGTTCACCCCTACCCTGGCTGGCTGAGGGGAGGTGGCGGTCACACAGGGACGCCAGGGCAAACTCTTGAGTGCAGGCTCCATGCTCACGCTGCTGCAACGGGCTGAAGGCAGAGGGGACACAAACGCCACGGGCCCAAGAGCAAACCTTCCTCACCCCCTCTTTCCCAGCTTGAGCCTGCACCCCGTGGGAGAGGGCCCAATCTCGGGGCGCTTGGCAGCAGCGAGCAGGCTGCCCGGCTGAGTCCAGCAGCGGCCCTCGGGCCAGGGTCA